TTTGGTCCAGTCCTCCAATTTGCCAAGGTCTCTCTGAATCCTATCCCTACCCTCTGGTGTATCTACTATTCCCCCCAGTTTGTGTCATCTACAAACTTGCTGATGGTGCACTCCATCCCATCTTCCAGGTTGTTGAAGAGATTGAACAACACCAGTCCCAGGACTGACCGCTGGGGCACTCCACTTGATATCAGCTGGCTGCCAACTAGACATCAAGCCATTGATTGCTACCCTTTGAGCCCAATGATCCATCCAGTTTTCTATCCACCTTGCAGTCTTTTCATCCAACCCAGAGTTCCTTAGCTTGCTTGTGAGAATATTGCGGGAGACTTGCCATTGGTAAATCCATGTTGTTTCTAATCACCTTCTTCTCCTCAAAGTGCTTAGGAATAGATTCCTTGAGAACCTGCTTCATGATTTTATAGTTTCATAGTTTCATAGATGTTAGGGTCAGAAGGGACCTATTAGATCATCAAGTCCAGCCCCCTGCCCTGGGCAGGAATGAGTACTGGGGTCAGATGACCCCAGCCAGGTGTCTGTCCAATCTCCTTTTAAGCACCTCCAAGGAAGGGGACAGCACCACCTCCCTTGGAAGCTTATTCCATATTTTGGCAACCCTCACTGTAAAGAATTTTTTCCTGATGTCCAGTCTGAATTTGCTCTCTTACAGTTTGTGGCCATTATTTCTAGTTACCCCGACAAGCACCCTGGTAAGCTTTGTATCCCCTATTTCTTGCTGGTCCCTCCGATGAGTTTGTAGGCGGCCACAAGATCACCTCTCAGCCTCCTCTTGCAGAGGCTGAAGAGGTTCAGATCTCCCAGTCGGTCCACATAGTGTTTTTTCTGTAGGTCTTTAATCAGATGAGTGGCCTTCCTCTGAACCCTCTCCAGGCCACCCACATCCCTCCCAAAGTGCGGCGCCCAAAAATGAATGCAGTACTCCCACTGCGGCCTCACCAATGCCACATAGAGGGGAAGGGACTGAGGTGGGGCTGACTGATCTTATGTTTCCCTGGATCCTACTTCTTTTTCTTAAAGATGGGCACTATATTTGCCCTTTTCCAATTGTCCAGGACCTCTTCCAGTCATCACAACTTTTCAAAGATAATGGCCAGTGGCTCTGTATTCATATCAGTCAACTCCCTCAGCACCCTTGGGTGCATCACGTCTGGCCCCTTGGTCTTGTACACATCCAGATTTCTAAATAGTCCGTAGCTTGTTTTTTCACCACTGTTGGCTGCTCATCTTCTCCCCAAACTGTGCTGCCAAGTGTAGTAGTCTGGAAGCTGACCCTGACTGTGAAGACCAAGGTAAAAAACAAACTAAAAAACATTAAAAAAAAAAAAATTAAACATATCTACCACAAATCCAACAGATACTAAGACACAGTCAGTTAAGAGATAAATTAGGTAATTAAAATATGTTTTTTTCAACATATTAAAAATATACAATGTAGAATACAATTGTGGATTTCAATGCATTACGCTTATTGACAAAGGAAGAAAAATGTTATGACATCATCAGTGTAACCCCATGCTACAACACAGTAACAGATAATATATACGGCAGGAAATGTTTTTGGACAACTGTCAAAATTAGAATGGAAACACACTATTGGTCTGAGTTTCACATGTGCTCAGCATCTCTGGACATCAGGCTAAGTATTATCAAAATTAAGGAGGGGAGAATCAAGCTATAATCTCATTAGTCTAAGAGAATTTAGCAGCACATTTGATGCAACTAGGGCATGGAAAATTCTGAGCTGTGATTGGAAATGTTCACCAGTTTACTAGTGGAGACAACATCAAGTCCCAAGCTCACTCCCTCTTTTCCTCTAAGATGCAGTTCACCTCTTGTTCCCTGTTGTCAGTGCTAGTGAAAAACCCTTTCAGAGAAGTCTATATTAATATAGGTATTTACAGTAAAAACCAATTAAGTGTTTCCCTGTCTGACCACTGCAACTCTTCCCGTTCAGACACAAAATGAAAATAGTCTATTTTATTTGAAAATGGATAATAATTTAAGATATATGGAATTTTTCAATATTTTGTATAAATGCCCTGAGCAAGTATTCCACATCTTGTTGCAGCTTCTGACTGATAGACCTTGAAGGCTTTCGCTTTAGCATCTTGGCTGCGAAAGGTACTGAGATGAGGGTCAACTTTCTCCAAAGAGGGCAAATGACAAAGTGGAGCTGATTTCACAGGCCGTTGGTGTTCTCTCAGCATGCTGCAGTATGTCTTGTATACTTTCCCATGGGGCATTATCCTCTTTTTTTGTTCCTTTTGAATGTAAGTGTTTTCCCGTTGTTCCTCCACCCAGATATCCTGGAACCGATGCTCGAGAACATCTGTGATAGGGGTATGGTGGCGAGGTGGCATTCCATATGTCATGGCATCTGGCAGGCGTGGTGGGTCCTTTTTAAAGTGACGTTCGTCATCTTCGGGGAGACGGATATCATGGGTTTGGCGGTACCTATAGTGTTCCTTTGCTGTGATAAGGCCAGCCTTGACTGCTTTGTGGTTCATAGAAATAAAATCACGTGGCATCTTCTTTGGTGGTTTTGGTGCAACTTTCATTACATTCCAGTGGCCTATCGCTTCAGGAACTCCCCCCTCATTGGGAAGACGTAGTCCATACACAAAATCAGACCCTGGCAAGCGTGTACAAATTTGGCGTGGCCTTCCCAGCTCTGGCTTAAGGATGAGGTGGTTCTGGAACATGGTGTCTCTCAGCACCCCAACTCTCTCATTTTCCATCCCCGATTGGATATCAGCTGCGATCAGGGGGATCAAGGGTGGGGGACAGATGTCGCTAACACTGCATCTTCTTTTCTTTTTCTGAGGGAATCTGTGATCCTTGGATGCTTCCATTGCCAATCAGTGAGAAGCGAGCAGAGATTGTCACTCCCAGCTCTCTTGTCCAACGTGGGCAACTGAACTTGTTAGCCCTACAAGCCTAACTCTAGATTCTTGTGACATCACAAACCACACAACCTTCTTCCTGATGTCTTCATGATGTCATCAAAACTGAACATATTCATTGGTTGTCGTCCAGTCGCTATTGGCAACAGTAAGGTGCAGGTGACTGTGGTTCTTCCTGACAAGAGGGAGTGATAGCGCCTCCCGGAGCCAGTACAACAAATAGAGGGAGGAGGGTTTAGCTTGAAGGGATGGAAGATCCCTGAACAACTGGTGCCTCCCGTGACTGGGGGGCACCATGGTGGCAAGTGGGGACTGCCTGCAACTGCTGCTGCAGATGCCGCAGATGCTGCTGTCCGTGTCAGCAGTGGGGGGTACGGGTGCAAGTGGCGACTGCCCGCAGAAGCTGGCAGCGGCTTTGGCGGTGGCCAATCTCAGGGGGGGCATGTGCCCTCCCGTGCCCCCCCTACACATCACCTATGGGAAGATCCGTGTGTCTAAGGCAGCTCAACCCCACAGGAATGTTACTAAACCATCCCTGTTTTAATGGCAATGACCTGTAATCAGTGAAAAAAAATATTTCTGAAAAGCAATTTTAAAAATTAAATGTCAAGTTAAAAGACCGTTGTTACAGCATGTCTAAGAGAGAATTTCAGACCAGGGTACCACAAATGCCACTTCCACCAATCATGCAGTTCAAACACAAAGCCAGACAGCTAATGTTTCAGCACTGAACTGTGAGGAGACCCAGGTTTTTTCAACAGCTCTGCTACTAACTTGTGCATATAAATGAAGTAAATCATTTAATCCCTCAGTACCTCTGTTTTCCCTCCTATCTGTTGTCTCTTGCCTATTTAGATTCTCTATATCAGGGACACTCTCTCAGAGCCAACAATGCCCTAAGCTGAGATGGACTCTCCAAGACTACAGATAATAATATCTCAGCAGGAGGAACTTTATGATTGTCCAAAAGAGATAATATTACAGTTTAGGGCTTGACTGGGAAAATTCCTTCCAAGCTAGGACTCCGGTCTCCCCCTAAGCATGAATTTCTAGTCACCCTAAGTTGTGCCTAATATTTGTAATTACTCATACGATGTTCAAAAAAACCTCTTCTACTCGCAATGCAGAAAACATCAAATTAATTTCCTTACTATATTTGCATTGATAGAGCTAAACATACATTTCCAGAACAAGAAGGCAACGTTAGAACAAATCTAACCTGAAAACAGAAAATTAAGCTTTGACAATTAACTTACTCTTAGATATTCAAGTACATTGCAGAAGTCAAACGTAAGTTATATACTGCAAAATATGAACTTGAAAAAGAAATCAGAATCGAAACTTTATATTATTTTTATTTTTACAAGGACTTCAAATTTTGCATTTACTCTATATTTTTCTTTAGAGAAAGCTAGGAAATTTTTGCATATTAGCTTTCAGAGGGTTCTCTTAGTAACACCAATTGCCAGATAGCATGTACTATGACATATTTCTGGAGCCTAATTACAAAATCTTTGCAAAGGGAAATTAAAGTGAATGTGCAGAAACCATTTACCAAATTGAATCTCAGAAACTTTTTATTTTAAAATATTAAAAGTGATTGCGTTTTATCAGACTTCAAAGTGAATGCACCCGCAGATGCCCACATATTGCATAACACACATACACACACATGTGCAAATGACGTGTGTGAATATGTATATATGTACTATGTGCATGCGTGTGAAGCCATTTTGATTTACTTCAATGCAAAGAAAGCAGTTTTGTACAAGTGAAATTGTATCTAGGTGGTGAGACTAGTTCAGTGAGGAAAAATATATATGTTTTTTAGGTCTGAGTGATAGACCCCCGAATGCCATGTGCAGTAACAGAATAGCAATCTCACCAAGGTCATATTTCTACTTATTTTTTATATACAAAAGCTATATTATTATTCCCTCTGCTTCCAAAAGCAACCACGTTCATTATCCTTTTAACATTAAAACAGGTCACTAAGAAAAAGAAGAAAAAAAGAAACACCCCATGCCAGCGTTTTAAATGTTTCCCCCATCAAATTAAAAAAAAAAAAAATCTTACGGTATCTTTTGAAGTTCCCAGTTTCTTCAGCCCATCCAGAGGCAGCAGGTCTGCTGAATCCTTGTGAATAAACTGAACTGCCTGTTTCATTCTCCTTTGCTGTCGGAGAGATGCAGCTTCCCTCATTTCCACCTCCTTCCTACTAGGCTCAGTGAGGATACCTGAATAAAACATCTTCTTGTCTGTGCACGTCTCACTCTCACTGAGTAGATGCTACACTCCCGTATAGAAATGAGCAACAAAATGATTTATTGTCTGCACTTGATAACGGAAGCCTCATGACGTTTCAAGATCAGCAGGTACTCCAGCCAGTGCAGCATGGTAAAGGAGGGGTTAGGCACATTGCAACGTGCTGCAAACAACCCGCGTGAATTCAGACTCAGTCTAGAGGAATAATCAGCACTGTTTCATCTCACTGGCTCCTCTGAAAAGAAGAGTTGGAATGACTAAATAACATTAGCCTTGGGCACCACCCTGTCTTTTACATTACACCAGCACGTGCCTTTGAGTTGGTTCTAGGAAAATAAATGTTTCAGAAGATGAGCTTTTGCAAACAAAACCAGTTTGTTCTCTAATGAAATAGATGTGATCTTAAAAAAAGAGAGAGAGAGACAGAAACATGTGTAATATGAAAATACAGTGGTAGCTCTACAGAGAGAAGGCAGGACAGAATGGCACCACATAGTCTAGCTTTATAAAGAGTTCATTTGCTGCCTTGTAGAACTCGGGGATAGATAATCTGTGTCTTTTTAGTACTTCCAGAACCAAAGGGTGTGTCTACACATGTACTTTAATGCACATTAGTCTATTTTAATGTGCATTAGAGCTTCACAAAAAAGTGCTCTTTAGCTAATGTGCATTAAAACAGGCAAATGCATGTTTTTCTACTATCTCACAATGGAGGGCACCTATACATGAGCATGGAGGCTGCTCCGATGCACTGTAGTTACAACGCATTGGAGCAGACTCGATTAATCAAGTCTGCTGGAGCATGGCAGTTACTGCGCTCCAGCAGCCTCCTACATCTTGTGTGTCAGCGTCCCTGCACTTAAAAATGGGGGTGGGATACTTGAACTAAAGCTTGTTGAACAAGCTTTAGTTCAAGTGTTTGAACATGTGAGAAGGCTTTCTAGATTGGATTGTACCTGTACAATAACAATATATAGATTTGTATGACTGATCGGAGGACACTTTTTACATAGTAATACCATCCAGGAACATAAAAATAGCAAGAGCCAGGGTGGAGGTTTATGTCAAGCACGCTTTTGTGCGCGTGTCTAAATACTTAGAAGAGTCTGACTTGTCCATACACTATTGTAGACAGGGATTATACTGTTGTGTCCTCCTCTACATCTGTGGAGCCTTACTTGCTTTGAATCACACAAGGAGCTTCATTTTCTCCACATGTATGCAGCTCATAACTCAGATTTTAGATTTTATGTACAGCTCAGGCAGGCTTTTGAGGCATTTTGCAAGTTTCATGGAACTGGCCACGTGTCTTAATACTTAGCAATGGAAAAGAATGAGGGAGGAAAGGAAAATAGTGTAAATAGTGATCAAAACTAATTGGGGTGGGAGCAAGGACAGGAAAAAAGCATAGCAATGAGGGAAAGACAAGCTTCTCTCTTATTCAAGAAACTAAGACTAAACGCACAGGTAGACAAACAAGTTCTACATTACACAGGAGAGATTTCCATTCATTCCCTTACTCCTCCTGAAGAGTATCTTACTCCATGTCCCACTGACATCAATAAAGTAAAGTGCACAAGAGAAAGGGAATTGGTATAGATCATTTTGCAACCAGGAGCTCACTTAATGCCTATCTTTTACAGATCAGTCTAGTGGTAGCAAAGTTGATTTAATAATATACTCATTTATCCCCATATATTTTAAACTTAAAAACACTTCTGGTGATAAGAAGGCACTGAAGGCCATTCGTCCAAGATGGCTATCTTGGCAGATGATGCCAGGAAGGCTAACGATGACTAAATTAGAGTGAAAAATTATTCAAACACATACATCACCATAAAGCATGTAAATCAGACAGCATACAGATAGGTTTCAAAGATATCTCTCTTCCAAGACAGATTATTACACTGACGTTGAGAGCCTCCTAGAGGTGTGCAGACGTCAGTATACACCACTGTTCTGTGGTGATGATCAGGAGGCACAGTTCTGTGAATCACCTGACATATTTGATCTCTATAAGCAAATCAGGACTGAAGACAACTGCACATTCAACATATCGAAAGCACTGTCACAGACTAAACAAAATTAAGCTCGGAATACAGAATGCACTGAAGTGCAGGGCAGTGCCTTCCTAGTCTTGACGTCAAAGGCTGTTAAAGTATAGACTGGCTTACACATTCAGAAAAGCTGTGTCTGCGCTCAAAGATAATGAGCAGAACACTCCCAATGAATGATACATAAGTGTTGATAGATGGGGGGCACAACCCCATGCTGCTGCCACTACCTCTGCCCTCAAGGTGCTGGCTCTGGCCAGGCTGCATCTCCAAGCCCTGCCATTGGCACAGAAATATGGGGGGAGGGGGGGCACTTGCCCCTTGTACCCCCACACATGTTGCCTATGCCCAACAGACAGTGTGAACATAGACAGGATTTTTATTTTCCTAGCATACTTGGAACAGGGGCCTACTATATAATGAGCCATTAGAAGCAAATTTGCCTTAGAGCAAGGGTTTTCAACCATTTTTAATAAGGGTACCCCCAGTGGCCCCCTTTTTAATATGTGTACCCCTGGAGGGGGGGTGGCGAGCGGACAGACGCGGTGCATGGCAGGGGAGGGTAGCAAGTGGTGGCAGCGCAACATCTGTGCAGCCCTGCTCCTGGGAGGCAGCAGCGCAGGGTGGCAGTGCTCCATCCCCACCTGCCCCCACATACCCCCTGGGACCTTTCAAAGTACCCCAGGGGTACACATATTCCCAGTTGACAACCCCTGCCTTAGAGGATAAACACATCTTATTTTTCACCTTAGAAACTATTTGGCATGACTACATTTGATGAAGAAAAACCATAAAAGTTCATACTAAAATTGGTAGGTGACATTGATATAAAAAGGATCCACGAGGCAGAAATGTTCTGTTTTGCTGTATTAGTAAATACCCAGTTAGCTCTGACTTATGGCAATAGAAGCATGTACATCCAACCGAGATAGCAGGTAGAGTGCTAAATTAAACCTTCATGTTACAGTTCTAAGATGTAGCCTGTGTTTTAACTTAGCAAACAAGAGTTTAATGGTCCCACAATTTCACTTTTACCATTTGTTATAAATTTTCCTGATGTTAATAGAGGAGCAGAAAATCTGCCCAGTGGTATTAAATCTTTGTGCTTTCTGGCAATGTAAAGAATAAGAAATGCTTGGACTCATTTCCATCTTAATATTCAGCAGTCAAATACAAAACAGCAAATCAGCTGCTCATAATGTGCAGCATTTGCAGCACTACCTCAGTTTTATTCTGTGGTTTTTTTAATGCATTGATTAGCTTCTGTTGCAAACAAATGACTAACTCATGTTAGCCAACTGTATTCCTTCCTCCAAGAGTGGTATGCTTACGTCAGAAAATACATTAGCAAAGCTCTTGTTCTGCTGCTCAAAGGAAGTTTCCATGTATAAACTGCCCTTTATGGGAGTAAAGCTAAAAAGGTCAATGAAATATTTTTCATTGCTGTCTGACTTCAAAGGGGGTTGCACATTTTCTTTGAGTAGAATGAAATCACAGCTGCCATCTGAGGGACTTCAATAGGCTATCAAGCTTTTTTCTAATTCTGGAGGAGTTAGCCCTGTTTTCTATTAAATTACCCCAAAATCAGGCCAACATGCTTGTGCCTCTTTGTGGTACAGATGTTGACAATTGACTTTTGGGGTGTTTTATGAGGGGATATGAAAGGATCCTTGTAATCCCCCAATGAAGTATTTTTCTCCATTTGCAAACCTGATTCTAAATGTCCTGCACAGCACTGCGGACCCAGTTCCTGCACTTGCAGCACACTCTTCTTGTGCATGGATGGTTGCTGCCTGTGGTGTTTCCATTGCTTGGCAATGATCACACGATGCTCCTTCATTTCCATGGCTGCAGGGTTCTGAATAGGAGTTGCTGGATGTGTAGTAACAGACGGCTCGGGCCTGACATCCTAATTTTCCTCAAGTAATGGCAGCTGTAAGAAAACATAAAGCCATTTCCTATCACAGACTAGCTAATTTTGCTGGAAATCTGAGTGATTCATAGTTGCAGGCACAGACAGGCTGCATATGCTGAGGACAAAAGGCAGATGGCTGCTGATACTTCAAATAGCAGCAGCTCAGATCTGAGGGGTGAAGTGGAGAGAAGTACCTATTGCCCTCTGCCATGTCTCAGACGTCTGCCAGACCTGCAAAGACAAGAACAAACTCTTCTCTCTCCAGTTCCCAAGCCAGCCCCAGGAGGAATGCTGGGAGAAGCACAGCTTGCTCTGTACCTTTCAATGTTGCCTTCAGTGCCGTGCTTCCAAGGATGAAGTCCTGAAACTGCTTTTGGGCAGTCCTAAGTGCTGTTGTCAGATGGGACTGTGGATGGCCCAGCTGTCTGCTCACAGTCTTTGCTGCAAAAGGAACTTAAACCAGCTTAAGTGATTTTCCCAACAGGCTTATCTAAACATGTTAAATCACAATGTTAAATCACTTCAGGTAAGGTGCTACAATTGTGTGCATCAAGTTAAAGTCAGCTTACACTGGTTTAGCTTTGCAACCATAATTTATAGTCACTGTAGTGGTAGAAAGGCTGGCAAACGTCTTTCAGGGCAATTGCATCCTTCCTGATGGTGGACAGCAAAAATAAAACTAGTCTTTTTCTTAAGAGTCCTCTCTCTCTTTTACAAAGTGAATGTTAATGACACCTCCTGCATCTTAAACGGGATCCCTTTCAAAATGAAATGCCTAGGAACCCAGATGAATGCAGGAACCGTGGCAAGGCAGAGCTGGACGGTGCTGCTACAGATCACCTTCAACCATTCTACATCGATGCAGTGTTCGGCTGTGTTAAAGTTAGAACAGTTTCAGGGCAGTCGCAGGTTAAAGCTTAGTCGTCTCTAACCTGCACGACTCTGACTTGCCGCTAGAGGACCCGGAGAGCAGGGGCATGGCCAGGAGCCAGGACTCCACCCCTTCTCTGGGAGCAGAGCCCCAGGGCTCAGTGCAGTGCATGCCCCCCTGGGCTCTGTGCTCTTACCACGCTTGGCAACCCTTCCCTGCCTCTCACCTAAGAACATA